GGCCCCGGGCGCCGCTATCGAGTGGGGCCGAGGAGCCAGAGCGCACCGGCGAATAATCCAGCCCGGCTGCGAAGGGCCTCCGCTTGCCAGTCTCGGCCGCGGCGCCCGCCTCCGCGCCCCCGAGCGCCGGCCTGCGCGCCGCCGCCTGGACGGCCGCGACCGCCCCTGACCGCCCCGCCGGGCTGGGCCGGCCTGCGATGACGATCAGGAAGTCGCCCCCGAAGGCCGGCCCAGCACCGACCCTGACATGGGCCCCCCCTGAACGAGAAGTCCGCCCCCAGAGCGAAGCATGCGCAGCGCGTAATGTAGCGGCTCGCGAAATCCTCGCTGCCGACGACTGCTTCCTCGTCGGCGCCGAGGGCGATGGGCGCGGCGCGCGCGGGAAGTCATCGACCTCCCCGGCAATCTCGCACAAACACTAGTTCAGGGGGGCTGGCGCCTGTCGTTGAGGGCCCCCGTCGACGGCCTTCAGCCTCGAGCCCGACATGCATGCTGCCTCGCCGTAGCGCTGCTGAAGCAAGAAGATCCATGGCCGCGCGAATCGTCTTGGACCCCCGCGAATACCGAGGCCCAGCGCTGAGGATTTAGGGCTGGAGGACCCACGGCCCACTGCTGCACCTCTCAGGCCGTCGCAGCGGACGCTTCCCGGCAGCCGCTGGGCTGGCAGACCTGGATATCTGCGCGCGCGAGGGAGAGGCTGAGGGAAAACTCGGAGCATAGCTCGGACTCTGGCGTCTTCACCATCGGTGAACTCGCCCCGACGCAAACCCAATCTTTCCTCGAGGACCTCCGGCCCTGCTGCCGACTCCGGCGCCCTCGCGATCGTCCTGGACCTCCTCTTCCAGCTCCTCTCATGGCTCCTTCCAGTCTGCGGCCCTCGCGACCTTGTCTTGGCCCCCCTCTTCCTGCTCCTCTCAGGGCCATGGCTCCTCCGCGTCTTCTGCGTGCTCCACCCCCTGCTCCTGACTGCGCCGCCGCCCCCCCCATGGGCTCTCGCGGCCTGTCCTGGGCTACTCTCGAGACCCTCGTGTCCGAGCGCCGCGGCCCCCGTGCGACCTGCGCCGCCGCCGCCCCCTCGCGCTTCTCGCGCGGGGAATGCGACCGGAACTCCTCGGCGATCCCCGTCCCGATCCGGCCCGAACGGGTCCTGGCGCCCGCGCGGCGGCCGTCTACGCCGCTGATGGCTCGCTACCCCTCTACGCGAGGGCCCTGGGGGATCAGGGCGCGCGAGGGCTCGGCCCTTCTGAGATCCCACCTCGGCCCGCCGTGATGTCACCGCGCTTGGCATCGCCGGGCTCGAAAAACCCCTCCGCCCTCCAAGCTCGGGCTGGGTTTTCGCCCTCGCCCAGACTGGCCATCGCTCGGACGTCCATTCCCCGTGTTTTTTTTTCGGTGTCGTGCGGGGTCTTTTCGCCAAATGATCAAGGGCGCTCCTCGATGGCCCTCGCCGAAGGAAGCGCGCACACGTCCGAGCGATGCCAAGCTGAGGCGGAGGGCGCGCTGGCGGACCCGATGGAGGAGCCCCCTTCGCCATATCCATGATCATCAAGGAACTCACCGGCGCCCGTCGCGGAGGGCCCCTCGAACCACGTTGTGCCGCCATTTTCATGTCCGCGGTCGTGAGCTCCCGAATCGCCTCGACGCGGGCGGCGACGTCGGTCGCCGGGCATCGCGCCCGGCGACCTCGGCAAAAGGGGTAGTGGCCCACAACCTCCTGCCGAGCAGCCCAGCGGGCGAAAAAATCATCGCTCACGGCCGCACAGCGCGCGCGCACCGCGTCGCCGACCTTCCCGTCGCCCTCCGCGCGCAGGATGGCCGTGCCCCGGTCGCCGCCGTCGCCGTCATAACATCGGACCTCGACGAGGCTGCCCGCCCTCAGGCGCAACGCCCTGGCGCCCCCTGCGCCAAGCGCCGCCGAAAACCACGGCCCAAGCACGGGGGTCGGGGCGGGCGCACAATTGGCACTCCGCTCTGAGCTCGACTCGGTGCTTGATCTAAGATGACAATGTAAGCAGAGAGGGCGCGAGTGAAGAATTCGGTGGAGATTGGGGTGACGAATTAAGCCATTAGAGCGCGAGTGAAGATTTAGGCAGACTTCCAGCTGCGATTCAAGTAGTGAGAGCGCGAGTGAAGGCTTTACGATTCAGTGGAGATTAAAGCAGTGATAGGGGAAAACCTGGGGAATATCCGGAAGACCAGAGAGAGAGAGAGAGAGATCTGGGGCTAGATAATAAATACTGGGCATGCTTTGGGGTTTCGGGTATTGGAAAATTGGAAGTGAATGTTGGCACCCAGCTTGACAGAAGGGGGTGTGCTAGAAGAACATATGAATCTACAACTTCTGAAATCGAGCTTGGAGTAGGACCTGTAGTAGAACATGTGAAGAACATGTTGGAAATGTAGCAATAGCTGTGCTGCTGACTGCATTTAGAAATCCCGTGCGGGTTTTAGCAAAACCGGTACATATAGCAGCCGTAGAAGATGTCGGGCTCGTGGCAAGAGAAACCGAACAATCTTGATGTAGGGGTTGGAGTGATCGCTGTGTAATTGGCTGCAGTAGGACTTGGAATAAGAGGTGTAACCTGAGACGCTATAGAGCTGCAGTAGACGTTATAGCAATAATTGTATTTGTGGATGTGATATACGGTAAAATAGGAGCTGGACTGCGCGCAGTACTGCCAACTGTACTGGACTGTAGAAGGAGTTGTCGAAGGAGTTGCAGTGGAAGCTGCGCTGCTGGTTGTGGCAGGAATTGTCGTGGGACGCGCAATGGGAGATGTAGGGGAGCTGCAGTAGACGCAGTGGCAATATCTGTAGCAATCGCTTTCTCAGGAGCTGCATTGCGAACTGTAGTGGATGCTGCACTGCTGACTGCAACATGGATTACAATACGAATTGTAATGTGAGCAATACTTGAACTTCTACTACTGCTGGTAGTCGGATGCAAAGCAGTTGCAGAAAAACAAAGCAAACGAGGAGCAGGGACGGGAGTAGAAGAGCACCATGAGGATGGCATCAAAATATATGAGGAGAGTGAGGGTGGCGATGGAAGAAGAGGAGAAGTAGGAATCCCCGAACATAAAGCAACATGTCTGACCACCTGGGGGGCGTGTATACAAAATACACAGACGTACACAAACATGCGTATTATCATGTGCATACAGTGCAACCAATCCAGGCATCATGTTTACCAGCGCGGTGTACCCTTTCTGATCGACGGGAAGCGAGTTACCCACACTGGCCGCTAGTAAGGATCCGCCGACGCGCTTGTAGCGCGTGTTGTGTGCCTGGCCCATGCTGCTGTGGCTACTTCAGCTTCTTGCGAGGCAGTGCAAGTACACAAGAACTACGCATTTTGCCCAACATGCGCTCATGCTTTGGAGCGCGTCCCAGTTCGATTGCCCTCACCGCAGACAATTGCACTATAATCATGGACACGGGCGGGGGGGTCAGTGCCCCCCCCCGTCCCTCAACCGCCCCACCCCAGGCGCCCCCCAAGCTCGGTGACGGATCGGCGCGGCAGCGCAAAGGGATCGTTCGGGCCAGTGGACCATATCGTGACGCACTTCCCACGTGCACGAAATTGCGGACGGCCACACAGCACAGCATCTGAGCTAGCACAGGGCATGCTGCAAAGGCTGGCGAATGGCCACCCTTTCGGGCCCACGGCCACGCTGCCTCCCCCCCGGCCACCAGCGGTGTGATTGTCCAATCCGCGGACCGCAGGCCTCTCGACCTTCCTTCCTCTGGAGGGGGTTAACAATTTATCGCTCCGGTTCGATTATGGTGGTGCCGCAGAAAGATGGGGTTTCCGGTCGGAGCGTTCTACGATGTTGGTGGGACCTCACGGGAGGCGTTCGGAGGCCAAGAATCGCCCAAAAGCGCACCAAAACCTTGATCCGCTCTGAAAACCCCGTCCCTACCCATGCCGGTGCCCACGAGCAGCGTGCCGCGGTCGAAGCAGCAGCCCAGGATTCTTCAGAGAGTGAATTACCTCCCCCGCTTTCGCTTCCAGGCAAAACCAAGCCATACCACGCGCCTCCTCGTCAAGCGTCCTGACCAGTACAGGCCGCAATTTGGCATTGTTTGGTATCTCTTGGAAGCGAGGGTGGTCAAAAGCGAGGTAGGTTTGTTTTCCCCCGAATTCTGGCCGTGGTGCTCTACGATGCTGTTTCGCTCTCGTGACGTCGGCCCTCAGGGCCGTGAGGCGCAGCCAGCCGGGGGGCAGCTCCCGTCCCCCGGGAATCGGGCGGAGATCGGCCAGCGCGCGGGGCTGGGGCGGAACCCTGGGCTCGCGAGCGACGTTGCCGCTGCACCCTCCGCTCTTCTGGCCCAACTTCCCGCCAGGATTCGCAGCCTGCCTGAATTTTCGCCGCGTCCCCACTGGTCGTCGCGTCGGGTATTCGGCGGCGATGTCTGGCAGCCGCCGGCCATGTCCAGATGTCTGAGGAGGGGGGGGGGACTCCCTGAGACACCTGTTCGGAAGTAAATGTCTAGACAAGTGAGACTCTGCCTAGACTTCCCGCCCCGTCTATGTGCACCCCGATTTCAGCCTCCCCAGACAAAAAAAGGCGTGGCCGGCTCCGCAGTGGCTCCTGGGCCTGGCCAGCCACAAGGAATCGGAGGGGACTGGCGGAGGATGAGCAACAAAAAGTACCCCTCCCTAACTCTTTGGGAGGGGACCTAAGTGAGGAGGGTCAACCAATTTAGGATAGGGGGTCGTTTCTGCAGATGCATCAGACCAAACCCCCCAGACTTCTCCCTAATGTGAAGACGAGGACCTAAGTGAGGCCACGTCTTCATGGTGTGATTAGGGTTGGTTAGGGATCCTGTTGTTCTCGGTGAGACTGACCTCCGCTGGCGCCGACCTCCCCACCGAAAGCTCCCCGAGATAGCCTCCCGAGGCCCGCCGGGGCCGCGCCGACCCCGGGCCGCGGCTGCATGAGGCCGCGGCCGACCGAGGCGCCGAGCTTGCGCGCGCGCGCGCGAGGCCGCCGCCGTCAGTCGATCTTCACGGCTCCGTAGATCGCTCTGGTGAAGTATAGGGACGCGACCGTGCCGATGGAGCCTCGCGGTGCGGAGGGGAAGGGGGGTCGGGCGGCAAGATCTGCACACGTCCACAGCCCCTGGCCAGGTCGATGCCAGACCCAGGAACGGTGTAGAAAGCCTCCCTGGCCAGGCCAGGGGGCGTGTGCACCGCTCGTGGGCCAGGGTGGGCCTGGGCAGGGGCGAAGAGCGAAAGGGAGGCGGCGACGCGACAACGACCGAGCCGAACACCGACCGAACTCGGCCGACAGCGGCGCAGCCGGCAGAAGCGAGCCGCAGACCCCCTCGCCTGTGGTGCGCCGTGCGCGAGCGAGCCATCTCGGACGCAAGGTGAGGTGAGGATCGCTTGAGCTGCGGCGGGTCGTTTGGTGCAGAAGGGCGACTGGCAGATCGACATCTCAACTGATACCCCGCCACTGTCGCTATCACAAGTTGTCCGCCGCCGTCGTGAATGTTTTGTTCCTCGACAGTTGCCCACTGCACTCGAAGATGAGATGCATCTGGGTTTCGGGTGCAATCTGCGCAATCAACCCCTTGAACTGCCACCCATGTATCAACTCGAGCTTTCTCCGTGTACTTGGCCTCTCTGCCACGAGCTGATGCATACCAGCGCTGATACCTTCCAGGATACATCGAAAGGGAAAGAGCACCAGTGAGGACGAAGAACAGCGTCGACATGATGAGCATGTACCTGCCGAATGAAGATGCGGCAGACTTTCCGACCCAGCCTTGATATGCTTCCCCACCCTTCCCATCCCGCATGTCCCTCACTTGTTCCCCGTTCCCATTTAGCTTCGAGACACCCAAATGCAAGCAAGCCTCAATTGAGAAAGCAGGGGGTAACTGATCCTGATGCCTCGTCTGATGCGATGGCGCCCCTCCCTCCTCCTCCTCCTCCTCCTCCTCGGGAGGAGGAGGAGGAGGAGGAGGAGGAGGGGGAGAGGAAGGGGAGGAGGAGGAGGAGGAGGAGGAGGAGGAGGAGGAGGAGGAGGAGCATGAGGAGGAGAGTAGGAAAAGGCGGAAGAGGAGGAAGAGGTGGTGGAGGAAGAACGGAACAAAAAACAGCAGGAGGAGAGCGAGCGAGCGACACGAGGGACGCCCGAGCGCACGAGCGCCGACCGCTCCGGAGGGCCACGGAGCGGTGCACGCAGGAGTCGAGCACCGTGTGCGGGAGGGGGCGGGGCAGGGCGGCCCTGCTCGCCGAGCGGCGAATGCCCCTGGCCCCAGCGGCTGGGCCTGCGAAGGCTCCGTGGGGCCGCCCGCGCCGAGGCGGACGGCGGCAGCACCATCCCTGACCGCGACGACTGGCGCTTCCACGCCAACCACGGGCCCACGGCGGAAGCGCGCACGAGCCGAGGGCGAGGGCGAGGGCGAGCGCGCCCGCGTCCCGGCCCCTGCCCCTGCCGGGGCCCAACTGGCGAGGAGAGAGACCGCCTGGCCCGGGCGTCGCAGGAGCTCGTCGGACGGCTCGTCGTCGCCCGCCATGGCGCCGCCTTCGCCCCCGCCGCCGCTGCCGCCCGCGCCAGGCGGCCGCCGTGAGCTTCCGGCGCTCCAGGGCGGGCTCGTCTGGACGCGCCCGCGGCAGAGGCGACGCCACGCCGCCCACGGGCTCCCGCGGGCTCCGCCAGCACGGAGGCCGCCCCGCCCCCCCAGGGGTGCCCACGCAGCGACGGCTGCGCGAAGCAGCCCCTGGGCAGCGCGCAGCAGCGGCGCTCCCTCCAGGGAGTGGCTGCCATGAGGGCCCCGCGCAAAGCTTCCGCGGCGCAGCCACACCTTCCAGCCGCCCCCGCCGTCGGGCCCGCGGGGAGCGCGCGAGGCCGAGGCAGCCGCGCGGCCCAGCGAGGAGTGACCTGATCCAGTGAGGCTTGAGCCAAACTCGCTGAGGAGAAAGAGGACGAGAAGGTTCAGGAGTCAGGAGGCCGTGCTCCAGAGTCTGTCAACGCCTTGGCCCCTGCGAGGGAGACACGAACGAGAAAACCGTTTCTAGGGCTTGCCTGCGGGTCCCTCCAGGCTCGAACGAGCGGTGGAGGGAGCCGCGTGAGCGGGGATGTACCCCCAGATGCAAGATTTGGACATGAAAAGGGGAGGAGACCCGCTCGCGCTGGCCTGCTGCGAGCACGAGCGGGAAGGACAAAGAGGCGGAAGTGGAATAGTAAGAGGAGTAGGAGAAGGCGGAGGGGCATCTTTATCCTGGCCTCATTTGCCAATCTTGTTCCGCTGTGCCTGTCCGACTTAATTGGCTGGCCTCTAGGCCTAAGTCTGCATCCTCACGCGTGCTTTCTCTCACAGACGCTTCAATCCTAGGGTTGAAGTCCGCGCACGAGTAGAAAGGAGGAGGGGGAGGAAGAGGAGGAGGAGAAAGAGCAGAAGGGGGCGGGCCATCAGGAGGAGGGCCGCGGCAGGAGAGCAGGATCGGGAGCAGCAGCACCAGGGGTGAGCGAGAGGGCAGATCGGCAGGCCTGGGGCCATGCCAAGAAGCATGCAGAATGCAGGGCGACGAGATCAACACATTTCCACCGCCCCTTCCCTGACATCCCCTCGTTCAGAAAAAATCACGACGGACGGTTTTTGTAACTTTTCGGCCCCTCGCGGCTCTCACCAGGACCCAGAACAATCACAAAAGATACCCACGGTGAAAATCCGGTCCGTGAAAAGGGTCCAGACCCCTGGGGAGCCACCTTGCGAAACAAGTACGACGGAGGATATCTACAGTGTAGGCCAGTCCATAAGAAACGCTCTACAAGATACCCAACCCTGAGATCCCAGGACGTTCATTGATTTGGGCGTGGGAAAGTCACGCCTTCCACGGCAAAACCATCGAAACCCAAGAAACCCAGGGCACCCTGGAGGCGAGCAACATGTTTCGAAGCCTGGGCCCCCACTGCAGGTGGTTGGTCAGGGCCATCCTGGGCCCAGGAGCGGTGAGTGCGCCCCCCCCTCGGCGTGGCCAAGGGGGCACGTGCCGATCGGGGGAGCCCAGGACGGGCCTGGCCAGGACGTGGAAAGATCTCGAGGCACGCCGAGCGGTGAGAATCGTGGGCAGGGGTCCCCCAACTTCGCGATACAGTAGGGGCCCGACCACAAGAGACCTTCCATAAGAAACCCAACCCTGAGACCCCAGAAAGTCCATGTTGTTTTTTGTTGTGGGAGAGTCACGCCTTCCACAGCGACACCCATCGAGACCCAAGAAACCCAGGACACCTTGGAGGCGAGCAGGGTGTTTCTTGGCATGGGTCTCGACTGTAGCGGCGATCCACGAAATCCGCGGGGCCCTCCGAAAGTGCGTGTTTATGCGAATGTGCCCTAGTCGATCTTCACGTCCCAGCTGGCGGGCGCGAATGCTATCGTCGTCGTCGCTACTCCTCTGACCGACCTTCCCCACAGTCTCGGCTAGGAAGCGGGACGAAGTGCCTGAACTGGGTAAACCCATAGAAGATCGGTCACGAGGGGATCCCTCAAAATCTATCCCCTGACCCCTCCCACGGTCGAATCTGACAAGCTTTTCGAGCCGCGTCCAGAGGTGGCGACGAGGGGGCCTCCCTCCTCCCCCCCTTTATGCTGGCGGGAACCAGTGCTGCGCCACCTAAGCCACCCTGCTGGCTCCAAGTCTGGGCACCCGAAGTAGAGCATGGTCGACACCATCTTCTCGATCTGCAGACGGGACCAGAAATAGAGGATCGTGTACCTCCGCACCCGTTCATCCCTGACATCTGCAGACGCGCAAGGCGAAGACGAGAGTAATGAGGCAGGATCCTCGATCCTCGATCTTCTCCTACACCTTTATCCTCGAGCATCGAACCTCGATCACTCAAACCTCGATCCTCGGTCTTCGCCACAAGCGAACTCCTCGACCATACGGCTCCTGGTCGATTGAAGAATCTCGATCCTCGCTCCATGATCAAGAACGTCCCCGACGCTGCACTGTACCGACTCGATAAAAAACTGGACTGACTACGCCACGATTTCAGCACCTGCCGCACATGTTACTCTACAGTGCAAAGTTGTGGGAAGGCCCGCACACACGCGCACACATGGCCTAATTGCGACGGTCCAGGTCAACAACTTGCCGAAATGCTTCACAAGATACATGCCCCTCGCTTATCACATGGTGCTTGCTGGGATGAGCTGATACCCTAAGAAGCGCGGAGCACGTTCAGCGTAGCAATAGGCATGGCGATGATCATATGACGTTGTGTTGGCACATCCCCAGAAATTCAACTGATAATACCAAGGTCACCCTGGAAAACGTCGTTTACCGCTTGAAGCTTGGGCTGCAGCAGTGCCGTCGGACCGCCCACCTGCATCGGGCAATACTGCAGCATCGCATTCGGCGCCACGATGAGAATCATGGACCGCATGTGCACTTTGAGCAACCACGTCACAGAGGATTCACGTCGCGACGACCAGCGCGTTGGTTTCTGACACTGCGTGGATCGATCAACGCTTCGATCGCCATATCGTTCCATGTTAACCGATTCTGAACCACTGGCGGCGTGCAACACCCGCGCTGGGGTCGCGGTCGTGGCGACATGACACGAACCGAACATACCGCACCCAACTGGAACAACAACACGCACGCCCCCTGCCGCAAAGAAGCTCAACAACATTCGCACCGTGATCGGGCCAACCGCTTGGACGCCCGAAATGGGTACGGAAAAAGGGTTCGATGTCCAACAACAACTGTTGGCCAAAACCATCAACGGCCGCTGCTGGACAGGCGGCCTTCTCTCAAATGGACAACGACCACGGCGACGCGGATAGCGAACCCTGTTCGGAATGAACAAGAACTGCTATTGGATGTTGTACCCATTGTTTCCGTACCCAGTTCGATCGTATCGATATGCGGTCCAACGAGAGATCGTGCGCGGTGCCGCTTCGATCTGAGGCTCAAGCAGGAGCTATCGACGCGCACGTCGGCCGTCGGACTCCGAGTCCGACGACGGCGGGCGCTGCTGCACCAACGGCAACCACACCTTCAACTGTGTCCCCTGCGACGGAGTTGGCGAACGCCCTTACCCAAGTCTTGGAGGTGCAGCAGACCGTCAACCGCTTGCAGGAGCTGGCGTCCATGCGCCCATCCCATCTAGCTCCAGCAACCTCGACGAGCAGCTGGAGCAGTCGGAGGTTTTCAGGAAGCCGCGGGCCTCGCTGGCAACCATGTCGGATACGTTCACCACTCATGGCCGTCAGATCTCCACGCTCCAGACGACGATCGAGGACCAGGGTGAGGACGTGAGGTCTACTCGCGTTCTCCTGGAGCGCATGGCCCTGGCGGTGCCATCTCCAGCCCCGCGGACCCCGCGCCGCCCTTCGCAGGGAGGGGCTGCCAGCACGCCAGGGGGCGGGTCGCCAGCAGGAACCTCACCGGCAGCGGCAGGAGCCCCAGGAACACGCAGCAGCGGCTCGCCACCACCGCGTGCGGGGGCCCTCCCTGTGGCCTGCTTCAGCCAGCAGGTGGGCGCGGCCTCCCATGTAGAAGGTCTCGGGTACCTCGGCGTTGGTGCTACGAGGGGTGATGTGACCACCCTCGGCGCCACGATCGCCAATGCCCCCGACGCCAGCAACGCGCGCGGCGAGCGGTGGAAGGAGGTCTGCCGCACGAAAGCCATGGCGCAGTGGAAGACGAAGCTAAAGTCCCTCGGACGCCCGCCCCAGGACGCAGATGCGCACACCCATACCATGAAGATTGGCGGGGCCATCTTTGCGAGGCCCACGGACGGTGGAGACTGGCATAACGACGACATCCAAAATCCGCCGATCCGGCGTGTGAGTTTCTGAGAGCGTGGGCTTGAGCTCGCTCAAGCTTCGCTCTGGGGGGCGGGGTCGGGATCCGGCGAATTATCCACGCAATTCAGTAAACGCTCCAGCGCGGGGGGGCGTCCAAGCGGGGGGGGGGGTCAGCGCGGGGGGGGGTCCAAGAATCGAGGGGGGGGGAGCTCGAGCGGACGGGGGGTGGGTCGAACGGAGGGGAGGGTCGAGCTCAAGCGGAGGGGGGGGGGGGGGTCAGCGCGGGGGGGGGGGTCCAAGAATCGAGGAGGGGGGGGGAGCTCGAGCGAGGACGCGGGGGGGGTCGAACGGAGGGGGGGGGTCGAGCTCAAGCGGGGGGCGGGGGGTCGGGGGGGGGGGTCAAGAACCGAGGGAGGGGGGGGGCAGCTCGAGGACGGGGGGGGGTCGAACGGAGGGGGGGGTCGAGCTCAAGCGGGGGGGGGGGGGGGTCAGCGCGGAAGGGGGGTCTAAGAATCGAGGGAGGGGGGGGGAGCTCGAGCGAACACGGGGGGGGTTCGAACGGAGGGGGGGGGTCCAAGAATCGAGGGGGGGGGGGGGGGGGCGGGGGGAGCTCGAGCGAGGAAGGGGGGGGGGGTCAAACGGAGGGGGGGTCGAGCTCAAGCTGGGGGGGGGAAGGTCAGCGCGGGGGAGGGGGGGTCCAAGAATCGAGGGGGGGGGAGCTCGAGCGAGGGGGGGGTCGAGCTCAAGCGGGGGGGGGGGGTCCAAGGAGGAAGTTCGAGCGGGGGCGGAGGGGGGGGTCGATCTCAAGCGGGGGGGGGGGGGTCCAAACCGAGGAGGGCAGCGGGGGGAGGAGGGACGTCGTCGTCATCATCGTCCGTCGTTGACCCGGTCGTCGGTCGTCGTAGTCGTCATCGTCCGTTCCCACACGCATCGGGAGCGCCCCGGATCGGCGGCACTGGCTGGAGGCCATTACAATATCCTGCTGCAGTGAGGCCAAGACTACCTGAACTACGCTGACATCTCTACGCCCGACCACTGCAGTAGTAGGTCCCTACAGGCGCCTGGCCTCTCCTCGCCTCTGTCTTTCTTCTCACTTCGCACATTATACCACATCGTGGTTTTGTGCATATCATGTGTTTGCGTTCGTTTGGCGATCGAAGGCTGCCTTTTCATCAGTGACATTCGCACTGTAACTGTTGGCAGCCATGAGCATGCTCTAGTTGAGGCTTGTCGCATTCTCCCGATTGTGCTCGGCAAGTTTAGCCTCGCCTTCCTGGCCAGCCGCTGGTCTTTCCCCGCCATGCCCGCATTGTCAGGTTTTGCAGATTTCGGGGTAAGCAACCCTGTTCCTGCCTTCAGGTTTGCTAGCCTTGCTCAGAACTTTGGTCAGGCCGCGTTCCTATCCAGTACCGCGGCTTTTGTCGACTGGTTCCTATAGTCTTGTATGATCTAGCATGACCCCTAGCCTGGCAGCCAGGTGACGACCTTAGGGAGAAGGTGATGTTGCCATCAGCGGCGACGGAGGTCTCCTTGTTGTCTTTCATGTTTGAATCCCGCCTAACTTTAGGGTCGGCTGTGTGTGCGTGTGCTTTCATTTGTACCAGTCAGAAGATAGCACAACTATGTCAGTCGTTGTGGGAAACCCTTCGATTAATTCGGGCAAATATAGCCGTTTTATGTCAGAAAACGTCGCGGGTTTAGGCTGGCGCGCAAACCGTCACCAGACGGCGCACACGATCGTGGACTCGCGATGATTATACGACCGTTTACTTTTGATGTTTGCTGGAACATGGTCTCTGAGCACTCTCTCTGGTGCTGTTGTTGTGTATCCCAGATATCCCATGCTCATCGAGCTGGTGGCACCTCGTGTGAGTGAGTACCTCTGTTGGCCCCTGAGGGCCTCTGCTCCCTGGAGTCCGTGGCCTTGCAGGACACTAAGGGCGTGCACACCTTCGAGGACCTCGGGAGCTCCAAGGGCGCAATCAGCACGAAGGGGGTGGGAACAATCGACGTTTCGGACATCCTCTCACTTCCAAGTAAGTGTGTGTGTGTGTGTTTGTGTGTGTGTGCGTGTGTGCGTGTGTGCGTGTGTGCGTGCGCGTGCGCGTGCGCGTGCGCGTGCGAGTGCGCGTGCGCGTGCGCGTGCGCGTGCGCGTGCGCGTGCGCGTGCGCGTGTGCGTGTGCGTGTGTGCGTGTGTGCGTGTGTGCGTGTGTGCGTGTGTGCGTGTGTGCGTGTGTGCGTGTGTGCGTGTGTGCGTGTGTGCGTGTGTGCGTGTGTGCGTGTGTGCGTGTGTGCATGTGTGCGTGTGTGCGTGTGTGTGTGCGGGCGTACGCGTGCGTGTGTGGGTGTGTTTGTGTGTGTGTTTTGTGTGTGATTGCGTTTGCGAGTGTGCTTGTGTTTGTGTTTGTCGTTGCGTTTGTGTTTGCGCGCGCACGCGTGCGCGGTAGTGCGCGGTGGCAGGGGGCGGGCGGGGGCAATTCCGAAGAACTCCTCCGCAGCTTGGAAACTGACGACGCGAGGATTTCTCGAAGTTCCCCGCTGGGTGCGGGGGGAGGGGGGCGCAACTCCAAGAAATTCCTGCGCGGCTTGGAAACTGACGACGCAAGAGTTTCTCGGAATTCCCCGCGGGGCGGGGGGGGGGGCGGTGCGCACGCGCGGGTGTGAGAGAGAGAGAGAGGGAGAGCGCGTTCTGGTGTGCGGTGGCCGCCCCAGCCCGAGGGGAATTCTGGGAAACTCCTGCATCGTCAGTTTCCAGACCGCGCAGGAGTTTCTCGAAATTGCGACCCCCCCCCCGCCAACTCCTCTCCCCCACTGCACACCACCACGCACACACACAGACACAGACACACGCACACACACAGACGCACACGCACAGACGCACACGCACACGCACACAAACACACACACACACACACAAACACACACACACACAAACACACACACACACACGGGCCCCCTACGGAGAATTCCGAGAAACTCCCGCGTCTCCAGGTTTCAGACGGCGCAAGAGTTTCCCGAAATTGCGCCCGCGCCACCTTCTCCCACCAACCGCGGGGGATTTCGAGAAACCCCCGCGTCGTGAGTCCCCAAGCTGCGGAGGAGTTCCTCGGACTTCCGCGCGGGTGACGCTGCAGGCGATTCCTCACAATGCCCCCGATGGTGCATTATGAGGAATCGCCTGGCCCTCCCCCTCGGCGAAAGCGTGGACTTTCTCGGAATACCTCATGCACCATACGGGGCATTATGAGGAATCGCCTGCAGCGCCACCTGCCCCCCTCGGAACATCGCCACTGGCTCACCACACTGTGTGGTCAACGCGCCGCTTGAGAGCACCCGAACCCAGGACTGGGACACAATCGGACCCGGACAGCGGTTTTGGAGGATGTGTCGGGTTCGCTGCCGTTCCAGACAGCCCCAAACCGCTCAGAGAGCGTTCCAGAACGCTCTGGAACGTTGTACCCCAATCCGGCTCAGAGAGCTTTCTGGCCTGCCTGCTCAAGGAATTCGCCACCGTGCCTCTGGCACGAGGTGGAGTGCCCCAAGGCTCATGCAACACTGAGAGGTAGAGGCTGTGCTGCTGCTGCTGCAGCCATAATACGGGCCCGTACCAGCCGTTTCCCAGGCCGCCCTGGGGCGTCCCAGGATTTCCCGAGCTGCCTCTCGTGATCTCTGGGGTGCTTCCTGCAAGTCCTCTGGACGCTGTGCCCGATCACAACGGTCCAAGAGAGCCCCGGCTTGCCGAAACATCGCTCAAATACGTTGTCAATAGCCTCGGGACGACCCAAGACACCTCCAAGACGGCCCAAGAGGCCTCCAACAGCACCCCCACGAGGGCGTTAGACAAATTTCAACGTTCGCGCCTTTCGGTTTCCCGACGCTCCAAGACGGCCCACGAGGCCCCAAAGATCACCCCAAGACGGCCACAGAGGCCCCTAAGAGGGCTCCAAGAGGGCTCCAAGAGGGCCCCAAGACGGCCTAAGAGAGCCCCAAGACGGCCCAAGAGGCGCCCAAGACGGCCCCAGAGGGTCCAACAGGCGGTCCAGATGGGGAACACGAACGGACATTTCCAGCCCTCGGCCCCGAGGGGACCCCAAGAGGCCCTCAAGGGGCCCCAGAAGAGCCCCCCAAGAGGCCCCCAAGAGGCTCCCAAGCCCACAAACGGCTCCCAAGAAGCCCCCGAGAGCGCCTCGAAGAGACGCGAAGAAGCATCCCTGAGAACTCTGATCCACAACCCAGGCACTGTGGCGGGATGGGCCGAAAGCCATTGGACCTGCTTGGCACGGGGACGGAAAGCGCATTTACTTTTAGAACGCGAGATGTCGCTGGCTTACCCGCTCTGTCTCTCTGTCTCCCCGTCTGGAGGCTCTCTTGGGGAGTTTTGGTGGCATATTGGGCGCCCTCCAGGGCTATCTAGAAGCCAAAGGGGGCCTCTTCAGGGGAAACTAAGGCGTCTTGCTATCTTGGGAAAGCACTCGAGCGCGATAAAGCACGAATTAATATGATGATACTGTTGATGATCATGACGACGATATACTGTCTCTTGGGAGCATCTTGGGCCTCTCCCAGGCCCTCCTTGGGCCGTCTTGTGGCTCTCTTAGGCCGTCTTGGGGCCCTTTTGGGCCGTCCTCAGGCCCGCTTGGGAGCCTCTCGGGCCCGCTTAGGAGCCTCTTGGGGCCCTCTTGGGGCTCTCTTGGGGCCGTCCGGGGGACCTCTTGAGCCGTCTTGGGTCCCCCTTGGGCCGTGTGGGGGCCCTCTTGGACCGTTATCGGCCCCTTTGGGTGGCCTCTGGGGCGTCTTGGGACGATCTTTGGGGCCTCGTGGGCCGTCCTCTTGGACCGTTGTGGGCCCCTTTGGGGCGCCTCTGGGGCCGTCTTGGGACGATCTTTGGGGCCTCTTGGGCCGTCATGGCCCTTCTGGAACTGAAAAGGGGAGAACCCGACAAACATGCAAAAACTTTAGGGAAATCAATGTTTTTGGCCTCCTGAGGCCCTCTCGGGGGCCCTCTTGAAGGACTCTGGAGCCGTCTCGAGACTATCTTGGACCGTCTGGAGGCCATCTGAAGCTCTCTTGGGGCCGTCTTGGGGCCCTCTGAAGCCGTTTTAGGACCCTCTAGGGCCGTCTTGGGGTCATCTGGCCGGTTCACCTGAACAAGATATAAAGAAACAGGCCATGGGAGACGCCCGGGAGCCGCTTCACTCGAAAAAATACGAGGGAAACGGACCATTAGGGCGATTAGATCACTGCCCCTGCAGAAGCCACCCCCCCTCGAACTCCCCCTAGTTTCAATTCTTCCGGCTAACGGATCGCACGCTACGCGCGCTTTCCGTCATACTGATCCAAATTTTGTCCAGATCAGGCGCAGGATCAAGCCACATCAGGCGAGATCAACAAATCAGGACTGTGCACGATCAGGTCAGATCAAGCCCAAAGAACTGCTACTTGGCGCCGATGCTGAACCTAACCTCCCTGGAACTGGACCCCAGAACCGTGTGGTGACAAACCGCATGGTGACCTCGGAATCCCCAGCGACCTGACTGCACGTTCTATCACCAGACGATGTTTGTGACCTCGGATGCCCCAGTCGACGAGGATGTCCTCGGAGAACGGCCCGAGACACAAAACCCTGCGTTGACCCCGAATCCCAACTGACTTCCCCCGATGTAATCACCACGCCGTTAGAGGGCCCGCGAGAAACCTGACTGTCGCTCAACTCCTCGGGATCCCGCGGCGTCGGACCGCGCGCGTTCGACGCTCCTTGTGGGCCTCCGCTCGCTCCTGAGCGCGCCCTGTCGATCGCTCACTGGGCGCGGAGCCATCAGCCGCGCGCCGAACAGACTTCAAAACATATGCACACCGCCCTGGCTGACCCGGCGCCACAGACGAAACCTCGGCGCCTGTGGCGAGCGACGAACAGATCCACATCCGCGCCCTCGCGGGCTGGACACTGAGGCGAGATCCCACGGATGCGCGATCCCATGGGCACGGTTGCGCGCGAGGGAATCCTCCCAACGCCGCCGATCCACGGGGACGCGGAGAAAAATCTGGACCCCGAGGCCGCGGACGGAGACGGACATGCTGCACGCTTCCCACCCACGAGCCTGCCGTAAACTCAACAACTGGAGGGCAACGATAGGGGGGGAACTGGCTCAGAGGGGGGAACATCGAGCTGGCATCGGCGATACATCGCCAGTAGATCGGCGACAGGCCCCGAAAGCAAAACCAGAAACTCCCGGGCGTGGCGGGCTATCGGGTCCCTATCGGCGGTCTCGGTCATGCATGCCCCCCACGTGACCCTATCCCCACCCTGTCGTTGCCCCTTGACTTTCGGGCCACAGCTCGGTTATCCGTCGGCTATTCGGGACGATTCTGGCACCCTCGGGACGCTCTCGGCGAGGCGCAGCTGCTGGAAGGCATCCCGAGGCTGGAAAGGCGCCGAGAACCGACGAACATCAAGCTCCAAACCTTGCATGTTGCCCCTGAGCCTGTCCCCCCCTAACGTTGCCCCTGATCGGACGAGCGGGCCCCGGCGGGGGCACAAGAACACGTACAGCGCCGACGAGCCAGAGGCAAAGAAGGACGGCCACCACCAGCGGTAGTCCTGGGGGGCGGGGGGGGGGGCGATTCGGAGGACGGCAGGGGGACCAGCAAGGACCCACATTGGAAGGGAAGAGAATGGGGACGGGGACCATGACTAGAGCGAACAGATTTGAAACGTCGTGTCGATCTTGATCGTCTCCTCCTCCTCCTCCTCCTCCTCCTCATCTGATTGCTCAGTTTAGCAAGCGCCTTGGCTGTGAACGCTTGAATTCAGACTTTTCCCGACTTCGCCCAGGACGGCGTATGGCTTCGTGCTCGTGCTCGTGTTCGTCCCATCTTGGCCAGCGTCAAGCGGCAACGGCGTCGTCGAGAGGATCCCACGACATCTTGGTCAGGATCGGTGTGCATCGTCCCTCGACACAACACTGGCGGACTGCTAGGAGGCAGCAGATCGTGGAAGATCCACGTGGGAACGATTGATTACTCTGAGTTTCTTAATAGGCGTCGGGGGAGTGTCACCCCCGCCGACAGCCCCACATCGACCCCCGTCGCGGGCAGCCACTGCGCGCCGAAGGCACTCCGACCCCCGTCGCGTCGCGACGACGAGGCGAGGTTGACCCCCGTCCGGGGGGGGGGTACCCCCCCACGCTCATTCAGACACCCAGAGCAGGCCAGGCAAGCCCAAGAGCAAGACGTATCCAGCACCGTGCTTCTTGGCACGGAATGGGCGTGCCCTCGGGTCCTCTGCCAACCCCCCCGAGTCCCACTCCCCCCATCCTGAAGATCACGTAAGGAGCCCGGACCCCTCGCTCTCGAATCTCCCGGGGCTTGGTGCGTGCCCCCCTTGGGGCTTCCCTCTCGTCCCCATGGGCTCTGCCAAGTGGCGGCGCGTAAATGCACCTGGCCCATAGAGGGCCCCAAGACGGACCAAGAGGGCCCAAAGAGGCCCCCCAAAACGGTGCAAGAGGGCCCTGAGTCGCCGATCGCTCCAAGACGCGCAAGAGCCCCCAGGCGGCCCAAGAGGCCAACAAAACGCCCCAAGAGGTCTCCAAGAGGCCTCCCAAGAGGGCCCTAAGAGGTCCAAACCATTGATTCTCTTATGGTGTTTGAAAGATGTTGACGTTCTCGCCGTTTCGGCTCCTCGACGCTTCCAGGCAGCCCTGGAGGCCCCCAAGACCGCCCCAAGACAGACCAAGAGGCCTCCAAAAAGGACCTATAAAGGCCGAAGAGGGCCCCAAGACGGAACAGGAGGGGCCCAAACTGGCCCAAGAGGGCCCCAAGACGGCCTCCAAATCGGCCCAGGAGAGGAAACAAAAACTGAAAATCAAAGCCTTCCGCCCCAAAAGGTCCACAGGAGGCTCCATGAGGCGCAAAGGAGGCCCCAAAAGGCCTCGAAGAGGGCCCCCAAGAGATCATAAGTCTTCCCCAGAGGCCCCAAGAGTACCCCAAGAGGCGCCAGAGGCCCCGAAACGGTCCCGAAGCTGCATCCGAACTGCCTCCAAGAGGGCCCCAAGAGGCCCCTTACGAGATCCCAACGAACATACATTAGGCTTCATACTCACACAACCCAGGCATGATGGCGGGATTGGCCGAAGGCCATTAGAGCCGCCGCCCCCTGTTGATTCATCACAGGGGTGCCTGGCGTGCTGAATCCTTTCGCTTTTGGTTTTGGTTCCTTTTCCCAAAGAACCCCATCTGGGGCTTCGGCGGATCCCGCATAACAGGTGGTTGCAAAGGGTTGTTCGGCTCCAGATGGTTTCAAGATGGCCTCCAAAATGGCCAAGATGGCCTCCAATTTCGCCCAAGCTGGTCCAAGATGGTCTCGAAGACGGCCCAAGAGATTCCAGGATGCCTCCAACTTCGCACAAGAAGCATCTAAGACGTCCCAAGACTGCCCCAGAGGCCTCCAAGAGGCCTCCAAGACGGCCCAAGAGGCCTCGAAGAGGTCCTCCAGGGTTCTCACGGACGGCCCGAAGAAGTCAAAGTCATGAATTGCCTTAGGCTTTTGAAGGATTTTGGTCTTTGCTCCTTTTTCGGCTTTCCGACGGCCCGCGACTGCCCAAGAGGCCATCAAGATCGCCCCAAGAGTGCCCAAGAAGCCTCCAAGACGGCCCCAGGACGGCCCAAGACGGCCCCAAGAAGGCCCCAAGACGGCCCAAGAGGCCCCCAAGAAGCCCCAGATGGCCTCCAAGACTGCCAAGATGGCCTCCAAGATGCCTCCAAGACGCCCAAGATGGCCTCCAAGACGGCCAAGATGGCCCCAAGATGCACTCAAGACGGCCCAAGATGGCCTGAAGATGGCCCTCGACTGCCCAAAGAGCCCGCAAGACTCCAAGACGGCCCAAGACCCCTCCAAGACGTCCTCCAGGAAGGCCCGAAAGGGCGAAAACCATTGAATTGCCTCTGGTGTTTCAAGGATTGTGGCTGTTGCTCCTTTTCAGCTCTCCGACGGCCCAAGACGGCCCAAGAGGCCCCCAACATCGACCCAAGAGCGCCCAAGAGGCCTCCAAGATGGCCCCATGACAGCCCAAGAGGCCCTCAAGACGGCCCCGAGAAGGCAGCATGACAGCCCAAGATGCCCCGAAGACACCCAAGATGGCCCCTAGACAGCCAAGATGGCCTCCAAGATGCCTCCAAGACTGAAAAAACGGCCGTCAAGACAGCGAAGATGACCCCAAGATGCACTCAAGACGGCCCCAGATGGCCTGACGATGTCCTTCGACTGCACAAAACGCCCGCCAGAGGCCTCCAAGACGGCCCAAGACCCCTCCAAGACGTCCTCCAGGAGGCACGAAAGCTCGGAAGCCACCTGGTCCGATAGCTCGCCCGACTCGGTGTTCCCCGAAGGTTTTCGAAACCCACTCGGAGAACGCGTGGCCCGATAGCTTGGCCAAGCTCAAACCCAACTTTCGGCCACGCAGGCGCTTCCAGAATGGCAGGGGGCGGCGGTGATTCGCCGTAGGCGTCTTCGATAATCAGGCCTGGTAAGCCCAAGAGCAAGGCAAGTCCAAGGATGTGACAGAGTTTAGCGGATTATGTCGGACATGGGCACGGGTATACCTGCGCCGATGCTGAATCGAACCTCCCAGGAGTTGCATCCGAAGGACTCGCTGCTTCAGGCTGCCCGCGGCGAACGGGTCGGCAACTTCGGGGAGCGCGGGTTGAAGAAAACAGTCCAGGCTACGCGCGGATTCGGGCCGTGACGACCCGAACGTTGGCTTTTGACGCCGAGTGGATCGTTCAGCCTTGAAATATCAGCGGCCTTTTGATCGCACGATCGTTCCAGATTGGCCGATTCTGGGACACCGGCGGCACTCAACCTTGAACGCCCGCGGCGGGGTCGCCGCCGCGGTGTCACGACGCGAACCCGCAGCAAAGCGAATCAACAAAATGAGCATCCGCTGGGGAGAAAAAAACTATTAATACTCGAATGGCCCAGGATCGGCGGAACCACGTCTCTCGAGATAACGCGAATCACAGCAGGTAGCAAGAACTGAAACGCCGCACCTCCGTAGCCGCCGCAGCCGCGGGGAAGAAAAACATTCGCCGCCAGGAAAGGTGTTTCCCCCCCCATTGAGAGAAGACTGGGGCGGGGCTTCCGTGTGAAATTTCAAGTCCACCACTACGCGCGGGTCGTCGGCCAAAACATGGCCCGAACAGGGGACAGTTGCGAGGGAGCTCTGCACGGCATCGAACGGACCCCGCGCCGAAGAAAAACACGCACGCACGACGCAGCTCCCCCCCTCCATCCCACCCCGTCTCCTCCTCCTCCTCCTCCTCCTCCTCCTCCTCCTCCTCCTCCCCTCCTTCCTTCCCTCCCTCCCTCCCTCCCCCTCCCTCCCCCCTCCCTCCCTCCCTCCCTTCCTCCTCCTCCTCCTCCTCCTCCTCCTCCTCCTCCTCCTCCTCCTCCTCCTCCTCCCTCCTCCTCCTCCTCCTCGTCCTCGTCCTCCTCCTCCTCCTCCTGCTCCTCCTCCTCTTCCTCCTCCTCCTCCTGAGCGAAGGAAGCAGTATTTTGCATGGGCTTGAGGCTCAAGCGCTGCGGATGTTGCTAACTGATGGTGCCTGCTCATGCTCTGCTCTACCGTGTCCCTGTCATCCCAAACGCCCCCATCAGAATTTAGCCTGTGGGGAAGAGCTGTCTGCGTGGCCTGTTCCGGTCAGAGCGCTGCTTGGGCGTACCCTTCGGAGACACCCCACATCGGAAAATCATACGCGATAAAACTTGCGAAGAATGGCCTCAACAAAACAACCTGCTGATACAAGATGTGTGCGATCGTATCCAATTCCGTTTGGACAATAATTTCTCTGTTTTGTCATACTGCGTCGCGGAAAACCATTTCACGAATCGTTTGTTTCGCGACAGTTCCCGTTTAGCGTATTACTGCTGGCTGATTTGTTGCATGCGGCTTGCAAACTTGTTCAGCACCTGCCTGAGACTCTCCATCTCTTTGAGGCTGTCGATGTCATGGAGCACGCCGCGCGGAATCTCGATCTCTGCGTCTCCTGACGATTTCGACTCCTGATCGTCACCGACTGGGGACGGCTCGCGACCACTTGCCTTCGCCACCCTCGACGGCGAGCGAGACCTCTGCGAAGGCAAAGGGCTGCAATCTACCAGGCGTTTCCCGGCGACCTTCCCGGCGACCGCTGCTTCGTCGCGGGGCTCGGCCGGTGGCGGTGGAGGCGCTGGAGTAGTGACCCGAGCCTCTTTTGACGGCGCTGGCCTGCACGGCCATCGCACGTCTGATGAGCAGTGGACCGCTACGCTGCTCGCCAGCTGCTTCGCGGCATCCTCATCCATTTTATGGTTCGGTGCGCTTTTCACATGACTGATCCATATCTTCGATCAGTCATCTTTCGCTTGCTAGTGCGTGCGCATGTTTCCAGACAGTTTCGAAACACCGCCTGTCTTTCTGTGGGCACCCTGGGCAAATAATGCATGCCATCTGCGCGTGGTTTGCAAGAGGCAGAGTACTTACGTACTGCGCGCCGATGAGTAATATATTTGATCGCGCTTTTGGTCCGAGATGGCTACGGATCTTGACCAGATACCAATGAGAC